AAAGATATTCAATATATTATAGATAATATATCCTTTAATTATAACATTCAAATTGAATTACGTAGTGATAAGAAAAATCTTAAGCATATAACCCAACTTTGTGAACTGAGTTCACAAAGTAATAGTGAAAATTTCTCTGATTTAAAAGTTAAGATAAGTATACCAACTATATCTTAATTTAAGAAAGATTTAGTAGAAGCTAAGACAGCTTTACTAGAAACTAAGGTAAATGTATTTCCTGAGAAGTTATTACCAGAAAAATTATCTGAAATGATTTCAGAGGAATCAACTGAGGCAGGTGTATCATCTAATCTGACCTATGATCATGCTTATTTTTGTAATAAAATATTTTTCTAATATTCTGATATATATAAAGAATTTAGTAACAAAAAATTTGATTATTATGGAATTATTAAGAAATCATTATGTTCAGTATGTAAACTAAGTCATAAGGATGAGAAAAGCATAAGAGGTAGATATGAAGCTGAATCCTATTTTATTAAATGTAGAGGACATGAAATTGAGATAACAGTATAAGTTATACTGGCTCTACTAATGCATAAAGTACACTTTCTCTGAAAAATTTTTTTTCTTTGACAGCCACGTGATTTTGAATTGACTTGCATTCTTATAAAATGATAACATGTCTTCTAATATTATTTTATGACAAGATTATTTATCTAAGATGTTAACTAATGACTATTACAAATAGTATGCTGAATTTGATAATTTACCAAGTCCTTTGACAGATAAAATTCATTCGAGCTTATATAGAGCCTATATGGAAGAGACTAGGCTCGATCCCTAAATAAAGTCTGAAATTTCTAAATTCTCACAAATTAGTGAAGTTAACATGACCAAAAAGGATGCTGATAATTACCTTTCACAAGATTGTGTTATCAAAATTTCTAAGTTTCTAGAAGAAAAAAGTATAATCCTTGATGTAGTATATAAACGTTTCCCTTTCTTATCTTACACTAATTCAAATGCATGACATCAGGATGTATTTAAATATACCAATTCAGAAGCTAAATACCTGATATGTAAAGAGATATATACACATTTAGGTATATGGAGTAATTGGAGCTGTCTCAGTAAAAATGATCACTATTTTTTTAATTGCTCTTTTCGTATCGATCAAAAGAAAGTTATAATTGCTATACAGAGTTTGTCAGAAATTTAGATAAGTATATCAAACAAAACTCAATCACTAATTTTTAGTACTAATCCAAATAAAATTTATCAGCTAGAGGTTGGCTTACGCCAATATGCCATAGAGCATAGAATGGATTCTAAAAAATTTTTAATCATTACAGAGGCTAAAAGAAATAGATGGGCTATAGGTTGTTTTCCTGCTGACTTGAAAAGAGATATATGCTTCTATCGTAGTGGAATAGAAAGGAAGAATGATACTAGAAAATATCATAAATTTTTAACTGATCAGGATAGACTAGTTAGTGAAGAGTTATTATGTTGCAGTATACTAAAGAGTGGTTTAAGTACTATATAGCTTAATGATCTGATGAAAGAATAGAAAAGTTTATAAAGCTTCTTTGCTTTTCGATTCTCTTAGTAAAAGGCTATCAGAAGTATTTGCTAGCAATTGTGCTTTCACTTCTTTATTTAAAATTCTTCTAACTCTATTAGATTCTGGATCAACTTGTTTTTCTGATGCTATTTCATTACGTCTTTGAATAAGAGCCTTTCCAAATAGGCAATAACATATGATAGATTCTTGGATTTTACGATCAGCAAGAATTATTGCATCACAAAGTTTTTCATATAAAAGTGTAAAGTTAGTATTGCTGGGTTGAAATTCTGTTTCATTCAGGGTTGTAGAAGTCACGTCTCTATCTACATTACTATTAGCTATGCCTTCTTCAGAGATATTAGAATCAGTATATTGTAATTGCAGACTAGAGTTTTCAGAAACTTCTAACATGATTTTCTGTACTTTGTTTTTATTAGATTGCAAAATATCTTTATCATATAATAAAGGGTCTTGAGATCTGAACTTCTTTTTCTGATTTATTTCTCTTATTTTATTACTAATCTTTTCCTTATACATTGAATTCAGAAATTCATCAACCTCTCTATCCTCCAATAATTTAGTTTCTATACAGATAGATGATGCAGATTCTGAGCTTTGCTCAATTTCGCTAAGATTAGATGTAACAAAAGTGATATTTACTACCTGTTTAGGGGTATTGTCAAGATCTGTTTCAGAAGAAATAACATTTTGTACCAGATTTGGATCTATAGAGCCTATATTGTTTTCTTCATCAGAGTAAGTTTCAATAGTTGAAGTAAATGATTGAAAAATTACTGGTAATTCTGAACAAGCTGAGGATGAGGGAATATTATTTGTAGGAGATGCTTCCTGTTCATTAGTGATAACCTGGGTCTGCTTCTGTTCCAATTTTGCAAATCATTTTTTACTTTCTTTTGTCGCCTGTTCTAGTTCTATAATTCTAGTATTGAGCTCAGTATCTCTTAATTTTGCTTTTTCATCATTTTGTTCTAATTCCATTATTCTAGCCATAAATTCAGCTTTCTCTTTTTTAAGTTTGGTATTCTCAGCTGTAAGCTTGGAAATCTGTTTTAATAAATCGGTTTTAGATAAATCTTTAGATTCGCCCCTTTGAGCCTATGTGTTTGCCATTATTTCTATATAAGATAGAGATATATTCAAAAGCTTAAGTTAATAAAAATTGTGACATGAATACTTGAAAAAATATCAATCACTTCATGAACTCGGTTTACAAAGAATTCACTTTGCTAAAAAATTTAGATAGAATTCTGTTCATATGCATAACATCAACACTCGTATAATATAATAAAATTACGAAATATATATGCAAAAGTAAACACGATTATGTATGCGAAATTGACTACCAGGGTCAGCTTTATTAATAATTGACTATACTGCTATATTAACAACATTACATGCTAAAAATAACATATTAAATTATAGCACTTATTTTGCTCGATCCACACCCCTTACCAAACCAACATACCATACATGCTATAAAATATCTATTAAATCTTATATAAACAATTTTTTTACTCCTCCATATTATACACTAATGGTTCCATACGTTTAATTATCTTCATTTCTTCTGAATGTTTCCCCAATGTAGGATCGACCTAAGCAGTCAACAATTGCTTAAAGTTATTTACAAGATCATTAGTGATAGTCAATAGCGAGGTTGCGGGAACTAGTATAAGTTGCTCCAAATAGCTGTAGACATTTGGAGATAATCCAAATATTGCAAGTGGAGTCTGAAAATACTCTCTGAACGCTGTAATTTTGGTATTTGAAATATCCTTATTGTTGTCGATTCTAATCTTCTTGATAAATTCACCTCTCGTTTCGATATCATCTGCTTAATACTCTTCCAGCACATCTTCGATTTTATGTTTATACAATGTGATTTGACGTGTTTGAATAAATTCTGTTGGAACATCAACAAACTCTGTTATTGCACCTAATTGCAAATACAATGACAAAAACGGCATATGCAGAAGTTTCTCAATGTCTATATATACTGGTGACAGCTTTGCTATTGCAGAGAGTAAGTAGTCATCGCCTTTATTATCTGTAGACCAATTTTTAACTTGTATTAGTATGTATGAAATACGATCTTTGTCAAGCTTTTCATGAAGAGTGCCCATATATATAGGTATAATGATATCTACTCCCCGCTGATTTCATTTACATGAAAACGCAACACCGCGAATCAAAGCATCTCCGAGATTTTTCCTTTTCAGCATATATGTAACATTGATAAAGTATGTAAACTTAATGTAAGCCTCGCCAAACTTTGTCCCTGTAAACTTTACTTGCATTTTAAGATGATCCTCTATTTTTTTATAAATATTGTCCATGAGTAGTGACTTTAAAAATCCATTTATAGTCACGAAACGAGAATAATCATTGCCAGTATTTCTGCTAACTAGATGTTTCTTTTGAATGCAATTATCCCAGGCTTTAAGAAGCAGTAGTCTGGTAGTAAGTTCTCTACTATAACTGGCCTCTACTATATCTTTCTTGTATGCTGAAGAGAGCTGATTAATAAGTTCTGTGAAGCAGATATTTGGATCATTCATTATCCGAGCAGACACCTCAGCTAGCACAGATTCAGTAGGCATCGACGTAATAACGCATTCATGATTCTTTGAGATATTAAGACAAAGGTGCATATAGCCTGCTATTAAATGAGATGCATATCTAGATTGTAGCACTATGTCAATACATAAACGAGGCCCAAATATAGCTAAAGTTTCAATAATACTAATTTTGTTTTGGGATTCTTTTTTCTAATGAATGAAAGACTTCCCACTAATAAGCTTGTCTATAGCCAATTCTATAACACGTTCCGGTTTAAATCCTTCAGCTTCACTAGAAGGTGATAGAAGTACACCTCACAAAGGTCTTCCATACCAAAAGAAATATTGCACAATTTCAGACTTTTCCAGTGTTGGAACTTGTTTAAAATCTGTATTCATGTTCACTATGTCCAACAAATAAAAGGCTCAAATAATTTAGACCCTTCTTCTGCAACTCTTTTGAACAGATTGAGGTAGTGAACAGGTGAGAAGTTCGAAATATATAAATGTGTGTCCGTAAAGATTGCAAAAATTCCTATATCTTTAGGTAGAAGCTTTAAAGCACATCGTACACAGTAGAACAGAGTTTCACTATTAATCTTTTGATTAACCAGAGCACGAGCTTCATCGAATGCAAACAGACATTTAACTGAACCTCCTCGTGTTATTGTTTTTTGTCCATCCAAGTATTTATTGACCCTTTTAGCTATCATCTGATTCGTAGTATTTTTCATAAGATCGAACTTGATATCCTCCATTCTGCGTTCAATATCTTTCCAGAAGTCCTCCTGAGAATTGTTGTTAGTATGTTCATCAACCCATTTTTTGCAACTCCCATTAAATTCCTGCAACTTTTGAAAATATGCACATATGTATACAAGGTAGGTAACTATTGCTTTTTGTTCATTATCAAGTTTATATAATAATGTTTCAGCAATATGTGATCTGAATGGATAACCACTTGATTTGAGGTCACGCAGACAACAATATACAGTCATTATACTTTCTGCAAAATTTATCAATAACTTGGATTTTTCTGTTCCACTGGCTTGAATTAAGGTTGTGTATGGTGCATAATAGTCCTTTGTCATTTTGTATTCATGCAAATACTTGTTAATAAAGAATATGAACCTTTTCGAAAGGTCACTTGGATCTCGAAAATCTCTACTAAAAGCTTTTCAGACAACTTCCTCTTCTTCTTTCATAAAATTAATCAACTTATTTGAATCTGTTTCTGCTTTCTCCTGGCCTAAATATAAAATTAATATATATATGAGATAAAAAATAGATAAAGAACCTTCTCATGATAAAGTAATACAAAAAATTATAACAATAATACCTGTTACAATAATTTTCCAAGTATCATCATATTGTTTGCTTACCTTGTGATTCTTGAAATACTTTTACTACATCTTCATAGGAATCTTCAGTATGCTCTAGCACATATTGTGAGATAAAATTCAGGAAGCTGAAGCTTCTTATTTCTTTATCAGAAGCTTCAGAATGTTCATTATTATATCGTTGGTAATATTGTAAAATCTTAGTGTCTACAGCTTGATTATCAATAGAGTAAAAAAAAAAAACACTATTACTAAAGGTTTTTTTAGAGGTTTTCTCTCCTGATTCGTAAAATTAATCAACTTACTTAAAATTACATCTGCTTCTTTCTTCTGACCTAAGTATAAAAGATATCAAAGAATAAACGAAATTATTGCAGAGAAAGCAGTATAGGTTTGGAATATGAGTTAGAGACTCGACACTTTGTGTCTTCGAATGCAATCGTGGTACTACTTACCCTGTCCTTCGCCCTTAATTTCCTTAACAAGTTTAACAATAGTTTCAGCTGGTTCTAACACTAATCCAACACGTATAAGTTTATCCACATTCAAATCAAGGAATACTGAACCGTGGACACGGTTATCTTTAATTATTTTAATGTCTCCATCTTCAAGAAATAATTTTTTTTCCTCATTATAAGACTTCAGAAAAGTAACAACTTTGTCTGGACTAGAGATGGGCAAAATACGCATAATGCGCTATGATATATGCATTATTCAAAAATATGCATGATGAACATGATGTGCATGATGCACATGATTGATATTTATCATATGATGCATGTGATTAATATTTATTAAAATTATTATCACTATTGGTCACTTTTGTATTAGTGATAAAAAAATCTTTTCGATATAGCAAAATTTAAGAAATTTTATTATAAAAAGTTACATTTACTAGAATAACTTGCATTGCAATATTGATATTGGCAGTTTTTATTACATTTATAAATGTGCAAATAAAAAGTGATTGTTCTATTCATTTTCACTCTCTACATCATTATCCATTTCACTATCAGTTTCTTCGATATCTAAATAATTTTCAAACAATTCCTCACTTGTATTTTCTACTAATATTTCTTTGTATGAGTCATTTGAATCATTATCCGTTAGATATAATAGTGTAATATCTACTTGATTTTGATGTTATATTTGTATATTATTAAGCCGTGCTGCTGCTGCTGCTATATCAGAAAATTCATGCTGTGGATAAGTAAGTTTATAATTACTATATATGTATACCAATTTTAATAGCCGTTCATTAACTAATTGAGCTCTTTTTTTTTCTTGAATATATGAGAAAGCTGACCAATTACGTTTTGAAGCTGCTGATGATGAAGGAATAAAAAGAATTCTAATAGCAACTTGACATAATTCAGGTGCTGAGATTTCAAAATTTCCTTTCCACCAAGCAATAGGGCTAGTATTTTTAACTGTATTCCATGCTAATTGTAGATTGAATATACCTGTTTTAGTTCTATACTTGATTAGTTGCTGCCAGATAATATTTACCTTATTCGTGTAATATTTTTGAATAAATTGAGATATTATTGTTATACTATTTGTAGTAAGCTTACTTCCATGAAATTTTGGATCCAAAAGATGTACGACTACTATGACTGGGTGATATATTTTTTTCCATCTACATTCTAATATATTTTTAATTTGATTATTTATTTCTAAATAAAATAAATTTAATATATATTATATACATATATTGAAGTTAAGTTTAATATAAAAAATTTATATATATATTTACCATCTGATTCTAATAGTTCATGATACTAATAATAAAATAATGCTAATCGTGGAGTATCTGCTTCAAATAATGAAACACCAACTACTAATTTATCTAATATTGAAAGAAGATTTTTGATATCCTTCCAAAAAACCTCATCATTAATATTTTTTTTAATTGATTCAGGTATTTTTTCTTGTTTATTGTGTGCTAGTTCTGTAATAGTCAACTTGAGTACAAGTTGATTTAGTAAAACTGAATTTAGACATGTTGCAGAAGATCCCCATCTTGTTTTAACTGGAAGTTTTAAGGATATTCGATGCCCATAGGTTGTTAATTGATGTCGTCGCAAAATTGCAATTGGAATTTGATGAGATCAAAAATACAAAACAATCTCTTTAGCATTTTTCAAGATGTTAGAACACTATGATAATTTCATAATATCACCAATTAAAATATTTAAGCTATGTGCAATACAACCTAAATAAAATATATTTGGATATTTTATTTCTAATAAACGTCAAGCCTTTTTCATAACTGAGGCATTGTCAGTAATTAAGGCTGAAATTTTTGAAGAACCAACTTCAGAAATTATTTTCTCTATGTCTTTAGCAATTGTTTCAGCATTTTGTTGCATTTCACCAATTGGATGTGCAGTAAAAAAAACTGGTTTAGGAGTTGTTAAAATATAGTTGGTCCAATGTTGTTGTATTAAGTCAGACCACCCATCAGATATAAGACACATGTTTATACTTTTATTAATTAAAGTTTCAACATCATGTTTGGTTTCATCAAAAACATGATCTAATAATTTTGTCGAAAGTTTTTTTCGACTAGGAAGTTTAAAGGTTGGTTTTGCTTGATGCCACAAATCTTTAATTGGTTCCATCTCAGATAGTGACAAAAAAAGACCATAGCGAAATACAGATTTTGCGAATGCCAATTCAAGAGATTCTTGCTCTCTTCTTGAAACAAAATCAATAGCTACTGATGATGTTGAAGTAGCTGTACTTATAGATGTCTCACAGTCACTTTCTTCATATGAATTTCCAAAATAATTTTGTTTTTGTATTAATGTTACTTCAGTACATTTTTTAAAATGAGCACGAGCTTGTCTAAGTGAATCATTAATTTGGTGCCTACAAGCTTTGCATTGTCTTCTCTTTTGTTTATACCTGACTACATGTCCAAGCTGATTGAAATACACTCATATTGGATCAGGCAACGGCATTTCTGTTATTTATAATAATTTTAAAATATTAATTAAAATAATAAATAATTAGCATAATTTTTAAAACAATTACCTTCGATTACTTCAATATCGTTTTGTATACATAAAACAAAGTCCCAAGAATTCACATAGGCAAGGAAATTTACAAAAAAAAAAGCAATCCAGGTTTTTTTTTTTGTTTTTTGATACTTGTATGTAAAAATTAGTTACCGTTACCAAATATCTTACAAAGCCTATAAATAACAAAGTACTATATTTAATATTAAATAAAAAAAAAAAAAATCAAGTAAATTTATAATAATAAATACTTTCGAATGGTTTGATTTTTTTTTTTTTTTTTTTTTTTTGTGAAAAAATCTAACAATGGTGAGAAAAAAAATTCTAGATTTAATAATTAATAAATAATATTAATAATCAATTATTAACCGTGATTTTAAAATAGATTCCTCAAAATAAATACATACCTTCAATTATTTCGATTTTCTTTTTCATATATAAAAATTCAATCAATCGTCAAGTTCTTGCAACAGCGAAGACAAAAAAAAAAAAATTACAAATATACAAAGTTCAGGCTTTAAATATTATCTTCATTACATATATAAGTATTTTACTTTTTTTAACACTAATTCTTATTACTACTAACTCTTACTAACACTAACTCTTACTAACACCAAGCCCTACTAGCACTAACTCCTATTCACTACTGTAATTAACTTTCACTTTTTACTTTGTTAAATATCTAATGATCATTAGGATTATCACTTTATATAGTACGAGCACTTAAGTGTGCATCATGTGCATGCATGATCGCATGCACGCATTGCATTTTGTACTTGTTGCCTATCTCTAATGAAGTCCAGAGTCTGGACTTCATTCACTAACTTCTTTAACTGACGGAAGAGAGGTACGATCAGACATGGTTACTTATTTTTTTGTGTTATAAAAGTTGTACAACTAGCGAAAGCAAAAAAATTTATTTGGTGGGAAATAGTCATACATTTACTTTTTTATAGTTTATACAAACAATCAGATTGTCGTACAACAGGTCACGTATTGTTACATGATAAAATGACAATACCGATATTGTATTTTTCCATGAAACAAGCGTATAGAAAATTAAATCCTGAGGAGGTGTGACA